CCCCCCCCCCCTTTTCCTGGCATTTAAAGCTGATTATTTTTCTACATACCTTTGGCTTTGACTTTATCCGAGGCACCCCCTCCCCCCCCCACCCCCTGCAGCGGCTGTGTTTGCAAGGCCCATGTGACGGTTATCTGAGTTGACGTCATTTCTAGCACGGCATTATAGAAGCACTTAATTTAAAAGATACAGTCGCTAATCCTCACAAAGACAGATGAAAGATTGCGGGCCATCCGTATCCATGTCCCGTTGTTTGCATAGAAATGCCAGGCCTTCAAGGCCCACAACTAGAATACCACTGTCTAGTCTTTTCATTTTAGTCTAATTTTTAAAATAAATACTAACAGATAGGATAATTAACCAATTGAGTCATATCCATATCTATATATCTATCTCTATAAATATCTATATCTATCTATAAGATACATAAGAGGCCGTGTGTCAATCATTGGCATGTGCTGCTTGTATGTTGTAGGAGCGGGTGTGGGTTGTGGGTACCACGCGTTCCACACTTCCACGGACATGTTCTCTTTTTAGGCCCTTTCTAGGCTAATTTGGTAGCATAAATATGAAACATACAAAAGATAACCATTGTTATCTTTATTCATTTATTGTAATACTAATTTATTTCACTTTTGTATGTTTCATATTTTCACACTTCCACGGACATGTTCTCTTTTTAGGCCCTTTCTAGGCTAATTTGGTAGCATAAATATGAAACATACAAAAGTGAAATAAATTAGTATTACAATAAATGAATAAAGATAACAATGGTTATCTTTTATAACAAAACAAAACCAAAAGTGTCCCATTAAACTTTGTAACCCACAGCCGTTTAAAACATTAAACACGTTTCCCTATACCTCAGGGACCAAAGTGTCACCCCAATAGTTGGGAACTACCTCAGTGACCAAAGTGTCACCCCAATAGTTGGGAACTACCTCAGTGACCAAATTGTCACCCTCATAGTTGGGAACTACCTCAGTGACCAAAGTGTCACCCCCATAGTTGGGAACTACCTCAGTGACCAAATTGTCACCCCCATAGTTGGGGCACACTTTGTTTACAGTGAATTCGTGTACTGTCTTTCATAATTGTCTATAGTCATTACAAGTATTACATTTTTTTTACGGATGGCCCATAACTTTCAAAAGCGGTTGACTGTGGTGATTAGAATGATGATAAACTGTAGTGTTGAGGAGAGTAGTTTAAGAGCAAGTATAACAAGCAGGTTAAAAAACAGTAATGTTCGATCTCAATAGAAAAAAAAGAGGAAACAAGGGCTCGCCAAAGAAATCATGCAGGGCACCAAAAGAGGGGGGAGAAGAAGAGGAAGACAAAGAAAAAGATGGGAAGATAACATCAAAGAGTGGACGGGACTGAAACTAGGCGATGCTGTGCGTAATGCAGAAGACAGAGACGAATGGTGGAGGATAGTTCACATGTCATCTGTGGCGCCCCAACGGTCTAAGTACTAAGGGACATGATGATGAATATAAAAAAAAACAGTTATAAAAAAACACCAATTTTTATTAACTGATCCTGATTTAATAATTATAAATTTGAGGACCATGTCAAAAGGCCCTACTTACCCCCCCCCCCCCCCTCCCCCTCCTTTTTTTCTCTCTCATCCATTATGAAGGTTTTCGTTACTTTAATTCTTAGTTTAATGTGTGTGTGTGGGGGGGGGGGCAATTCTAATATAACTTGTCCCGCCCCCCCCCCCAATCACCCTTGTCAGTATGATTTGCATCAGCGTGTCATATAATGTGCTATATGTATATTTTTTCCAATGTTTAAGGATCCTAAAGTAATTCAAGAAAGCCAACCAAAGCCAGAGACACAAACTCCAGGGAGCCCAATGCCAATGGCGTACCCAAATGACGTGGGATTGAACCTCCAGTACTACCCCAATAGCGGAAACCAGCTAGCTCCGTTTTACCCCTCTGCGGGAACCCAACAGTACCCATTTTATCCCAATAGCGGAATCCAGCAAGGCCAATTTTATCCCAATAGCGGAATCCAACAAGGCCCATTTTATCCCAATAGCGGAATCCAACAAGGCCAATTTTATCCCCAAAGCGGAATCAAAGGGGGCCAATTTTATCCCAAAGGCGGATTACAAAAAGGCCAATTTTATCCCAAAATTGGAATCAAAGAGGGCCGATTTTATCCCAAAAGCGGATTACAAAAAGGCCAATTTTATCCCAAAAGCGGAATTCAACAAGGCCAATTTTATCCCAATTTCGGGAACCAACAACATCGATTTTATCCCCAAACCAACACCCAACATCATAATATATATGCAAATATGGGAAACTCAGCTCTTCCGTCTTCTCCAAGTGATGCCAACCAAACAGGCACACCTAGTCCCAACAATGCTGCAGACCAAGCACTCACATCTCATCCCAATGCTGCAAACCAAAAATTTAAACCTCATCCCCATATGGCAAGCCCATCAAGCCCATTTCAACCAAAAACTTCAAAATCAACTCTTCAGTCTTATCTAAGTATAGAAAACCAAAAACGCCCATCGGTTCCGCAAACAAGTCAATCTATGGCGAATTCTTCCAGCCCAGACATGCCAGTCGAATACTACAACCCTAAGCGCGCCAGTCTGTGGGGATCACTACAAACCAAAACACTTTGGCTTATAGAAAATACAGCTAGCCCAAAACGTCAGTCTATGTCAGATGTTGATGACCCAAACCGCCAGTCTATGGCGAATTCTGATAACATAACACGTCAGTCTATGGCGAGTTCTGCTCACCCAAACCGTCAGTCTATGGCGAGTTCTACTCACCCAAACCGTCAGTCTATGGCGAGTTCTGCTCACCCAAACCGTCCGTCTATGGCGAGTTCTGCTAACCCAAACCGTCAGTCTATGGCGAGTTCTGCTCACCCAAACCGTCCGTCTATAGCGAGTTCTGCTAACCCAAACCGTCAGTCTATGGCGAGTTCTGCTAACCCAAACCGTCAGTCTATGGCGAGTTCTGCTCACCCAAACCGTCAGTCTATGGCGAATTCTGATAACCTAACACGTCAGTCTATGGCGAATACTGCTAACTCAAGCACGTCAGTCTATGACGAAAACTACAAGCCAAAACGCTACAGTCTTTGGGGAATGCTACAAGCCAAAACACGCCAGTCTGTGGCGAATACAGCTAACCCAAACCCTCAGTCTATGGCGAATACTGCTTACTCAAATCGTGAGTCTATGGCGAGTATATCAAACCTATCAAGTCAGTCTACGACGAGTATATCAAACCTATCAAGTCAGTCTATGGCAAATACTGCTAACCCAAACCGTGAGTCTGTGGCGAGTATAGCAAACCAACCACGTCAGTCCATGGCGAGTATATCAAACTCAGACACGTCAGTCCATGGCGATTACAACAAACCCAAACGCTACAGTCTTTGGGGAATACTACCAGCCAAAACACGTCAGTCTATGGCAAATACTGCTAACCCAAACCGTCAGTCTGTGGCGAGTATATCAAACCAACCACGTCAGTCTATGGCAAATAGTGCAAACTCTGACACGTCAGTCCATGGCGATAACAACAAACCCAAACGCTACAGTCTTTGGGGAATACTACCAGCCAAAACACGCCAGTCTATGGCGAATATTGATAACCCAAACCGTGAGTCTATGGAGAGTATAGCAAACCCGCCACGTCAGTCTATGGCAAATACTGCTAACCCAAACCCTCAGTCTATGGCAAATACTGCTAACCCAAACCGTGAGTCTATGGCAAATACTGCTAACCCGAACCGTGAGTCTATGGCAAATACTGCTAACCCAAACCGTCAGTCCATGGCGAGTACAGCTAACCTAAAACGGCAATCGATGGCAAATAGTGCAAACTCAAACACCTCAGTCCATGGCGATTACAACAAACCCAAACGCTACAGTCTATGGGGAATGCTACAAGCCAAAACACGCCAGTCTATGGCGAATACTGCTAACCCAAACCGTGAGTCTGTGGCGAGTATAGCAAACCCACCACGTCAGTCTATGGCGAGTATACCTAACCCACCACGTCAGTCTATGGAAAATACTGCTAACCCAAACCGTGAGTCTGTGGCGAGTATAGCAAACCCACCACGTCAGTCTATGGAAAATACTGCTAACCCAAACCGTGAGTCTGTGGCGAGTATAGCAAACCCACCACGTCAGTCTATGGAAAATACTGCTAACCCAAACCGTGAGTCTATGGCGAGTATAGGAAACTCAGACACATCAGTCCATGACGATTACAGCAAACCCAAACGCTACAGTCTTTGGGGAATGCTACCAGCCAAAACACGCCAGTCAATGGCGAATACTGCTAACCCGAACGGACCGTCAGTTCCAAATTATGAAAACCCAGGCGATTAAGTTAAACAAGAAGTTTGCTTTCATTGCACCCATTGGTTTATCCGAATCCCAGCAAAGTCCACGAACCCAACAATCTGGGGTCTCTTTCTAAAAATTCTCTCGGTAGCTCGAACCCAACATTTTGGGGGTTTCAGTATAGAAATACTCTCAATAGCACAAACCCAATAGCAGGGGTCTTAGTCTAAAAATCCCCTTAATAGCACGAATCCAAAATCTGGGGGTCTTAATCTAAAAATCCTCTGAATAGCACGAACCCAAAATCTGGGGGTATTAATCTCAAATACCTCTGAATAACACGAACCCAAAATCTGGGGGTCTTAATCTAAAAATCCTCTGAATAGCACGAACCCAAAATCTGGGGGTATTAATCTCAAATACCTCTGAATAACACGAACCCAAAATCTGGGGGTCTTAATCTAAAAATCCATTCAGTAGCACGAACTCAAAATCTGGGGATCTCAATCTAAAAATCCTTTCAGTAGCACGAATCCAAAATCTGGGGGTCTCAATCTATAAAAATTCTCTCAGTGGTACGAATCCAAAATCTGGGGGTCTCAATCTATAAAAATTCTCTTAGTGGTACGAATCCAAAATCTGGGATATCTATCTAAAAATCCTCTCAATTTCACGAACCCGACTCGGAAACGAAATGACTTTGTTATTTAAGGTCATTCTACCACGGTATTGTAAAACTCAGACGATCTTGAGTACCTTAGATATGTGCCAAAAGCATCTTTCGTGGTCTTCCGTCGTCTCAATCAGACATCTCGAAATTACCCCAAAGGTGCTCACCAAAACCTGCATCTCATCGATGTGGAACAAAACACCTCTAGTGTTACAGTCCATCCCGTTGATGAGAAGCGAACACCTCTGGTGTTAAAGTACATCACGTTGATGGAAAGGGAAGACCTCTTGTGTTACAGGAGAACACCCGTTGTTGAGAAGCGAACACCTCTGGTGTTACAGTACATCACGTTGATGAGAAGTGAACACCTCTAGTGTTACAGTACATCCCGTTAATGAGATGCGAACACCTTTGGTGTTAAAGTACATCACGTTGATGAGAAGTGAACACCTCTTGTGTTACAGGAGAACACCCGTTGTTGAGAAGTGAAACCTCTGGTGTTACAGTACATCACGTTGATGAGAAGTGAACACCTCTGGTGTTACAGTACATCCCGTTGATGAGAAGCGAACACCTCTGGTGTTACAGTACATCCCGTTGATGAGAAGTGAACACCTCTGGTGTTACAGTACATCCCGTAGATGAGAAGTGAACACCCACCTCTGGTGTTACAGTACATCCCGTTGATGAGAAGCGAACACCTCTGGTGTTACAGTACATCCCGTTGATGAGAAGTGAACACCTCTGGTGTTACAATACATCCCGTTGATGAGAAGCGAACACCTCTTGTGTTACAGCACATCCCGTTGATGAGAAGTGAACACCTCTTGTGTTATAGTACATCCCATTGATGAGACGTGAACACCTCTGGTGTTACAGTACATCTCGTTGATGAGAAGCGAACACCTCTAGTGTTTGAGTACAATACCCATTGATGAGAAGCGAACACCTCTGGTGTTACACTACATCCTGTTGATGAGAAGCGAACACCTCTGTCTCACCTTTACGATGTGGTTCGAACACATCCACCTCAATGACGTGGTCTTTCCATCATAAATTAATTAACATGGATCAAACAACTTAGCTCTAGACTTTACATAGACCTTGCCTAAATGTTGCTTCGATGAGAAATAATGTTTTAAAAAAATATTAAAAAATAAAAATTGATGACTCTAGAAGGTTTTTATTTAAAAAAAAAATTATAATTGAATGTTGCCTGTCGTATGTTCATATTTTTTTTTCTAAAAACGAAAACTGTATTAGTTTAACTTACCGTGTTCAAGTTAGTGTTTACGTTAGTGTTTAAGTTAGTGTTTAATAAAACTGTATGTGTCGCGGGAAAAGACAATCTGACCTCGGACTTCGCTCAGCTAAACATGGTTAGGACGTAATGAATAGATCATAAGTTCTGCCCTTTGGGGGAATATCCACCCCCCCCCCCACCCACACGCACACACAAACCAAACCAAATGGTACGCAGCCTCGGTTATGACAAATCTCCGTACTTAATTGTGTCCCCTTTCGTTTGTAACTGCAAGGAATAAATTAAGCTTGAACTAAACATTCAAAGAATCGAATCGGCGGGGAAAAAAAGGTGGGGATCGGGGGGGGGGGGGGGGTTATTTTCTTTATGTAAATAAAATTTTAAAATTTCATAAGTGTGCTTTGGGTTGGGGACAGTTTTGTAGCCACTGAAGTTTTCTTTTTTTTTTTTTTTTTAAATTTTCTACGTAGATCTAGAGTTTTGCTAATTGATGAAATAAGAAAGGGAATCCTTCGACTTTAGTCGGTTGGTGCCCATCTCAGGCAGAGGGCACAGGCATCAGGAAGAGGGCGTAGGTGTCAGGAAGAGAGCGAAGCTAAGGTTTGAAGAGTTCAGTTAGTTAGACAGCTCATTAAACTCAAACGGCATCTTACCACAGTCAACTCGGAGAGGGTGCTGTTTGGTTGGTTGTTCAATCTCACTTCATGTTAACGAAATTCCCTTGGTTAAAAATTCAATCATTTTTATTGCTCCAGGACTTCGAATCCAGATTGGAAAGTCGTACGCAGGGGCGTAGCCAGGGTTGGGTGCCAACGGTTGAAAATGCAGCCCCTCCAGCATCGGTTGAAAATGCAGCCCCTCCAAATAAGGCACAAAGAAAAATTTCGCTCGTGGTGGACCGCTCCACTCGGGCAACCCCCCCCCCCTCCCAACACCACCTTATAAATACATCAAAGGTTTTACAAAATGACGCCCATCTTCACCAGAGGGCAGACGTGAACAACTGTGACGTTGCGGTCAATAAACTCAAGGCCGGGCAGTGCCGCGAACTCACACCGGATGGATTAATGTTAGATGTGACTGTTGGGGGGAACTACTACACGGGATGGGAGCACTGTTGCCTCTAAGGTTTGCTGGTTCTTGTGCAAAATCATTAAGTTGTGTGCAAATTTTTACAGCGTCAATTTTTGTGTGCGCAAAATTTTACAGCTTACAGACACATTAAAGTGGAAATTAGCTGCGCGGTACTCAAAACTGCTGCGCGGCGTCTGTGAGATTGCTTCGCGTCCGCGCAGCTTAAAGGGAACATTTGATGGGGGGGGGGTGTAGTTTTAATCGTTCCTGCATGCGTTTAGCGTAATCTGTGGTTCGACTTATTGTTAACTTGGGCACGGAGCCAGCGCGGATCATGTGTCGAATTACCAACTATCTATC